GCTGTTGGGCACAAGGTTCATCAAATATCAAGCATATCGTACCCAACTGCACGCGCACTCACCCGTCGCCATATTGCATTACAGCACACCGCTGGCATGCACCCTTTCATGTATGCGCTGAGCCTTTTCTCTTGCAGCATAGCTCCCACCTGACCATGACAAGCCCGAGCTGGTTGCGGTAGGCGTGACAACAGCTTGGCCGCTGATAGGCGCTCGTGGGCATGCTGGGCAGCTTGTCTATGGTGCCACTTCAGCAGCGCAGGCGAAATCAAAGTGGGCGGGAGCTCGTTCCCATGCTGGTCCACGACCAGGGTGTACTAGGGCATCTTTCAACCTAGCCTTTGCAAACTCAACTTCGTGACGGCAATTGGTCCTATGACTTTCTTTCAAGAGTCGAGCCCAGGGAGCGCGGATAGAAGGGTAGGAAAATAGGAAGACGATACTTGGAAGGAGGAAGAACGGGAGACACTGAAGACGAGGAGGAGGAAGACGCAAGTAGAGGATGAGGATGCAGGATGCAAATGAGGAGGGAGACATGGAAAAGGACGAGGGCACGACCACTAGGAAACCATTCACTAACGCGGGGGAGCGCAGCACACCACGATCACCACTCGAGGCATACCTTGTTGGGTCCATGGCCTCAGCTTCCTCCCACTCGGCATGGAATGCTCAACTAATGCTGCCAGGCATTGAACAGGGGGAGGAGGCTGCAAGGAGGAGAGCCCAGCTCGAATAGGCAGCATTACACCAGCATGAGACTGCTAATTATGATCGTGGTGCAAAGAGTCATGTTTTTGACCTATATTGGAGCTTTTGGGACCCTCTGGACGTCGTAATGGGTACTCTGGATGCCAGCTGTGCCTCCCTGAAGAAACGGGGCCCCGTGAGCAAAGGTCTAGAAACCTCTCGAAGCCTTGGGAAGCCATCTGGCAAGAAAGTCGAGCAGTTGTCCAACGGTATCCGAAACTCCGAACCCCTCTAACATCTCTCTCCGCCCTCTGCCAGAGGAGGGAGGATGAGCGATGAATATGATGATGGTGACTGCGGTGATGAGGCGCACGACGAGGACGAGGTTGAGAAGGAGGAAGTCCCCCACCCCGTCGTGGAGGTGTATGTGTGGGGGGGGTGGAGCTGAACCCGCCGTCCCGGCTGCCACCGATGCCGGCGCTGACGCCGCGGTCGCTCCTGACATAGAGGAAAGCAAACTTGAGGGATCCACGAACCCGACAGGGAACTTGACGTAAGCTTTCTTCTGGCGCGCGTGCAGCAATTTCCCTCTCCCTGGCTGCAGCCACTGCCTCCCGCACGTCCTGCTGATCCTCCTCCTCCTCCTCCTCCTCCTTCTCCTCCTACGAAGTGAGAAGGAGAAGGCCTTTCCAGAAGGCGGCGGGACTGCTGAGAAGCCCTCGCGCCTTCCGAGAGGTTGTTGTCTCTGTCTTCGAGGAAGGCTTCGAAAACTTATCGGAAGGCCCAGGGACTTCCGAGACTACCTCCTCCTCCTCCTCCTCCTCCTCCTCCTCCTCCTCCTTCGCACGCGCGCTCCTCCTCCTCCTCCTAAACTAAACACACATCGGGGGCAACAAAGCCAGTCTCAGGGCTCCTCCTCCTCCTCCTCCTCCTCCTCCTCCTCCTCCTCGTATCCGCACGCGCGCACGCGCTGGGCGCATGTTGCCCCCTCCCCCCCTCCCTCCCCTCTTCCCCCCTGCCCGCGCACGTCTCAGGGGGCCTGTCTCCAGGGGCGCCGAAGATCCATGTCTTCGGCGGGGCTCCCCGGCGAGTGCGTTCGATGCCCGCCCCTGGGCTATTCGCCCTCGTCCGCCGTCGCGGCTGCTGCCGATGTCGGTGCTGGCGCCGCGGCAGCCCCCGACGGCGGTCTTGCAAACGCTCCCGGCTGCCGCCGCCCTGCTCCCTCTCAGACGGGGGGTGGGATAAGGAGCAGCGTGTCAAGAGTCACCTGCTCCTCCTCGTCCTCCTCCTACACCGCTCCCTCCTCACCCTCCTTGTCCTCGTCCTCGTCATCGTCCTCCTCCTCCTCCTCCTTTTCCTTCTCCTCCTCCTCCTCCTCCTCCTCCTCTTCCTCCTCCTCCTCCTCCTTCTCCTCCTCCTCCTCCTCCGACGACGACGACGAACTCGTCGTGGTCGCTGGGTGCCTGCACTCCTCCCCGCGCGGACAGAAGCCCTTGTTCTTCCAGTCCCAGCAGACGTTCTCCTGGCCGCGACCCCGCGCGCAGAGGTCGCCAAGGCCCCAATTCCGCTCTCCTCCTCCTGCCCCTCCGCTCCCCCTTCCTCCTGCTGATGCTGCGGTAGCTGCGGCAACTGCGGCTGCTGCTGCGGCTGCTGCTGCTGCTTCTGCTGCTGCTGCTGCGCCTCCTCCTCCTCCTCCTCCTCCTCCTCCTCCTCCTCCTCCTCCTCCTGCTCCTCCTCCTCCTCCTCCTCCTCCTCCTCCTCCTCCTCCTCCTCCTCCTCCTCCTCCCCACTCCTCCTCTACTCCTCCTCCCTGGCCTGCTCCCACTCCTCCTCCCCCCTGCTCGTCCCTCTTGCTCCTCCCCTCTCCCCCCTTCCTCCTCCTCCGGCGTCCTCGCCCCCGCCCCCGCCCCAAGATGCGCGCGGCGGACTGCTGAGGGTCGCGGGGGGCGCGCGGGTGCGGCCGTGCTCTCCGTGCTCTTTGCTGGAAGCGGCTGGTGCACGATGCCCCTTTCTTTTGAATGCTGCCGACGCGCGCGCGCGCGTGCGGTTCTGCATGTTCGAAGGGGCCCTGGGACACACACAAATACATAGACACAAATATAACAGGATTCCCCAGATGTTCCAATATGTTCTGGGTTTGTGTCTTCCCCCCTTTCCCGTACTTTCCATATGTTCGGGGAGATCGACGATTAATTGTGTCTTTCTTCCCCTCCTGAATGTTCTCTTGCGAGACCCCTGCCTGTTTTTTTTATGTCAGGGAGAGGGCGGACAACAGCCTGGCCGATTCAACATATCAAAATGCAACGTGCGAGCCATGCTGGCCAGTGGTTCCAAACAAATCTCACTCAACATCCTCAACATGCGGCGATACAAATGCATCGAGAAATAGCTCGCTCGTAGATCTCGGAGCGCGTGTTCCGCGTAACTGTTGATATTTACGGGGTGGAAGAACGTGAAGAAGGAGATTGACTGGGATTGCGCGAGTTCAATAATATCTAAGATGGACGACCGTACAAGATGATTACGGGGGGGCCAATACGCGGTGGTGAACCGTTAAGCCCAGTCTTGGCATGGGTGCCGAATCTGATATTCTTCTAAGTCGAGAACCTATGGGCCACGCGCTATGCGCTATGCGGCGCAAAATTGCGGGTTCAGTCCGCGCGGGCCGCCACAGCCACTGCGCGACCCACTCAAACCTCAGACGTCGTGCCCTTGTCATCCCGGATCATCTTTTGGGGCTCCAGGGCCCGGCGAGGGCCCCCAGAGGCAGGGACTTGCCACAAACATCCCGTCGTGATTGGTCCACGACGCGAACCCAGAGATCCGAAGTCGTGTTTTTTTCAATACGGGGTCCCCGGAAGTCTCGACCCAGTCCCCAGGACCGGTTTTTCATCCTGGGTCGTTTTTTGACGGTCCCGCGGCCCGGCGAGGGCCCCTAGAGTCCGAAAATTGCGAAAAACGCCGTCTTGATTTTTTCGATACGGTGGATCTCTCGGAAGGAGCCTGGGCACAGCGCAACCCACCACGCCACCGCTTTCTGGCAACGGCCGCAACGGGGAACAGCGGGCCACCCGCCCGTGGCGCGGCCCCTCCGCGCCCCCCCCCCCCCCCCCCCTCCGCCCCCTCTCCCGCGGCGGCGGCGGCGAGGCCCATGCCCCCGTGGAAGAGGCGAGGGGGTCAAAGAGCCGATCCCGGCCCGGGCTCCGCAGGATGTTGGCGACGAAGCGGAGCCATCTACCCAAGTAGCAGGAAAAAGACCCGCAGAAACATGAACGTTTGGCGCTCCGCGGGGGTTTCTTGGATTCGCGCTGGACCCCCCTCCCTGGCGCGCGGAGCGCGCCAGGGGTGGCGCCGGAGGCGCCGCCGGGGGGGCCCAGCGCGGATCCAAGAAATCCTCGCGGAGCGCCAGAAGTTTCTGTTTATGTGGGTTTCTCGTCTTCGACCAAAGAGGGTCGGAACCTTCAGTCTGGTGCATCAGTACCTGCACCAAGATGGCGATATGTGAGACTTGCCGTCGCTCGGACGTCAATTTTCCGTGCATCTTTCGATTTCGTGCGTGTTTTTGTTTTGCTCGATGGTCCAGGATGGTCCTCGATGGTTCTCGCCGAGAAAAAATGCACACGTCCGAGCGATGCCAAGGAGAGAATGGGGAGAAAGAGAGTTCGGGTACACACACCACGGCAGGCGGGGGCCAGTTTATGAGAGCACGCTCGGGCAGTGCGACGGCAGGAGGAAGGCAGAAGCGGACCGAAGGAAATCGGGAACCTCGCAGACAGGACAAAACCGACGGCAGAAGCCTAAACTTTCGGGGGTCCGCGCAGGTTTCGTAGATCGGCGCTGAGCTTCCCTCCCTGGCGCGCTCCGTGCGCCAGCGGCGGCGCCGGAAGCGCCGCGAGGAGGGTCCAGCGCAGATCCAAGAGATCCGCGCGGACCCCCGAAAGTTCGTGTCTATGCAATTTTGAAGGGGCCCTGGGACACACAAATTAATACACACAAATAAAAATATTCCCCATATTTTCCCATATTTTCTGGGTGTCTGTCTTCCGCCCCACTTCCCATATTTTCCAATTCTTTTGGGAATCGACGAATAATTGTGTCTGTGTGTTTCTTCCCCTCCTGAAATTTGCTCTTCGAGAAGTCGGGAGGCTCCCAGAGTCCACGGATCTGGGGGACGTAGGGGGCTCCGCGGCCACTTCAGAGCGCGCGGGGCGGAGAGGCTGCCGCGGCGTCGTCTGGGGGAGGCAGGCGAGGGCGAGGGCGAGGGCGAGGAGGAGGAGGAGGAGGAGGAGGAGGAGGAGGAGGAGGAGGAGGAGGCCGCGGCGTCGTCGGGGGGAGGCGGGCGAGGAGGGGCGTCGTCGTCTGGGGGACGGTGCACCGCCCTCCCAGGCCTGCTCGAGCACGACGCCGCTGAAGCAAGCAAGCTCCAGCTCTTGGCAGAAGGAGGGGAAGGTGAGCGTCGAAGGAGGAGAGGGGAGTGGGGAAGATCAGCACAGCCTGCTTACACGGTACGAAATCTTGTCATAGGAGATCAAGGGGCGCGTCCTGCGCCGACTTTGAACTTCGTAAAATGCCCCAAGGCCCCACGGGCCCATCGGAAGATCAGACATTACTGTGGGGCACCCGCTGGCATGCCGATTTCTTGTTTGGCGTGGCCATTGTAGGAGGCGGGAATGCCCTGAGATCCCATGTTGCGAACACAAATGCGTTATCTCGATAAACCGCGATCGAAGCCCCAACACACGGTCTTTCTTCGGCATGCTTCGGCCCAGATCGATGTGATGGTCCCAGGGCCCGAGCCTTGCAACGTCAGGATCTCGGGGGGTGAGGAGGACGGGACGGCAAGGAGGGTGAGGAGATCGAGGAGCGCCAGCACTGGAATGGAAGTCTGCAGGCCGCACAGCGGGTCTACTTGGGCTTCGGCCGCGGGTAGATGCCGAACTCGGCGAACGGGTCCATCTCGCTCGGCGGGAGGTCGCCGCGCTTCTGGGCCCTCCAGTCCCTCCACGGGTCTGGCATCTCGCTCGTGGGCGCGGCGCCGTAGATGATCTCGCCGTTCGCGTCCCTCGCCACCGCCTGCTGCTTCCGCTCGAGGGGCGCCCCCTTGCCGATGAGGCCCGGCTGCAGGGGCGCCGGGAGCCCGGGGTCGGGGGCCGTCGACTTCTTGAGAGCCCTGGCCACCGCCTGCTTGGGCAGGGACCGACCGCCCTGGCATTCCTATAGGCCTATAGGCCCACCGCGGCATGTTCTTAGAACCCCAAAAGTGTTCGAAGAACCGAAAACCAGATGCTTAGAACAGGACCTCGATGTGTTAAAAAAGGGCAGTCCCGGCCAGAAATGTTCTAAGAACATCTCGCCTAAACAACAGAAAAGGTTTTTAGAACATTGTTTGGTAGGCCTCTAGGCGAGCCAGGACGCTTCGCCGCTGCTTGAAGCCTTCGGCAGGCCCGTGCCGGGCAGCTTGCCGGCCGGCGTCACCAAGCCGCGCGCCTTCGGCCACGACACGCCGGCCGGCTGCGCCGGCGGCAGCGGCGGGAACGGCTCGGGCCCTATCGCCGCAGCCCCGGGGGCGGCGCCGTCCTCACCGCCGGCGTTGAGCCACCCGTCGGCCGGCATCTCCGACCCGCACTGGCTGCAGAACCTCGCCGCTCGCTCGACGGGGGAGCAGCACTGGTGGCAGAAAAACTGCGAGACGGCCATCGAGTCCTCCTCTGCCGCCGCCTCGGCCTCCTCGTTCCCGACGTCGTCGTCGGGGGGTGGAGCTGTAACAGCAGTGCCGGGGGCTGACGCCCACTGTGCCCTCAGTAAATGCGTCGTCTGCCTCGCCTCGATGTGGGCCCTCGAAGGCTTCCCCTTCATCCAGTCGTTGATCGGGGTCATGTCGGACACGTCCTTCGAGTCCAGCTCTATCACCCACTTGTTCCAGTTTGTGTCCAGGTAGATGCTGAAATTGTCGGCGAATATGCGGCACAAGTCGACAAACTTTGTGCTCTTGGTGCCCTCGAGACCCCGTCGGGCCTGCTGCACGGAGGGCTCCTGCCCCATGATGCCGATCTCCGTCTTCCCTCCGTGCCTGTGCAGAGCGTGGATGAGCTCGATCCGAAAGGCCTGCGCCCTCTCGAGCCTGTTCTGCGGGTTCTGTATCTTTTCTGGCAGCTTCGCCTGCTCCGGGTCGGGAAGCACGTCCCCAGCGCCTAAGACGGAGCAGTCGCCGGCTTTTCGCGCCGGCAGGGCGACGTCTGCTTCGTCAGTCAACTTCACCATGACGCCCCAGTTCGTCATCTCGATCTCGAAGACTTTAGGGTACTCTCTTAACATGTCCTCTAGCTTTCTCTTCTTCTTCCCAACCCCAAACCATTTGTCGTTGCGCAAGTTCCTGACGGTGACATCCGAACCGACCTGCGAGATATGCACCATCGTGCCCTTGGGGCCAGACATGGTCAGCGCGTTGTAAGCCGCTCGGGCCATGTCATCGAGCTTTCCCTTGGTGTTCTCCACGCCAACCTTGCGCTTCTTCGTCGGCGGCTCAGGGACCTTTGCGCTGATGAGCATCTGCCTGCTCTTCTCCGTGAGCGCCACGACGCCCCAGCCGTTTTGATCCTCGAGGTGCGCGAAGAGGGCAGGGGCCTCGGTCAGGACATCGTACATCTCGGGCTGCGTGGGATAAGTGGCCCGGACGGCTAGCCACGCCTGCCACATCCTAGACCAGGGGCTGAACGGATTGTTTCCCTCGTGCTTCGCCACCGTCTCCGATGCCAGCGTAGCGATAGCGATGCTCTCCTCGGGCTGGTTCCACAACAGCTTTCGGAGCTCCGCGTAGAATCTGTCCTTGAGCGGCGTCCTCATTTGCTCCAGCTCGTCCATCTCTATCTTGCCACCCAATGGGGTCAAATTCGTGCGCTTCAGTGCCATCACCATGCCGCTCTTGTCCACCCGCACCTGGAAGCGGTCCTTGTCAAGGGCGTCCTGGCCAAGCACAACCGCCGACTCGCCGTTCATGCCAGGGTCTACGAAATCAATGATCGACACCTTTAGAATTGAAACGCGGCATTCGGCGATGGACAAACCTCTCTTTAGTAAACCACCCTCTAGTGAAAACGGACTGAGACCGAAACCCACGGACCTGGACCCGAAAAAAAAATGACGGGCCGCGACGCCCTCCTGCGAACCGAAAACGGCCAGTGTGTCAGGGTAGGAGGCCGGTCAACCTCCGATACGAAGTAACCTCCGACGCCCTCCTGCGAACCGAAAACGGCCAATGTGTCAGGGTAGGAGGTCCGCGCGGACCTCTTCGGCTGGCGCTGGCGCCCCCCTTCTCCCTGCCCCCTCCCTGGCGCGCGGAGCACGCCGAGGGTGCCGAAGGAGGGGGGGGGGGCCAGCGCCGGCCCGAGGGATCCGCGCAGACCTGCGCAGGTAAGACGTCCTGTGCCCAGACGTGCGACGTGCGGATTTTTCCACACGGGGTCACTGGAATACAGTCGGGGCGTTGACCTACGGAACCCTACATAAGGAACGAGGCCCCTTTTTTCCATAAGTTAAACTTCGATTTGCGATCGAAAACATAAGGAAAACCTAAGGCAAGCTGTGAAACACTGAAGGAACGCGGAGCCCCTCCCCAACGAAAAGGGTTCCTTCTTCAGGGCCCCGACTGTAGAGGGCAGAACATCCACCTCGATCATTACCACCCCGACGCGCGAGGCCTTTACTCAACGCGCCCAAGGAAGGAATCGAGGATGGCAGGGCTGCTCAATACACACCCAGGGCTGTGTAGTAAACGCCAATTGTCCGGTCCGGGTGTTTTTTCCTCCCTTGCTTGAAGTTCCGACCCTTTCCCCTGCAGGACCGGCTTTTCATCCTGAGTTTTTTTTGGACGGTCCCGAGGCCCGGCGAGGGCCCCCCGAGGCTGAAAATTACACAAAACCTCCCGTCCTGTTTTTTTTACGACGCGACCATGTCTGGGTGCTTGTGCAGTTTTTGTAAAACCTTCGTGCCGATGTCGTAGGACTTGTCGAACTCGGGCCCAGCCTTTGTTGGCGGCGCGCGCAGGGGCGGCGCGAGGAGGGTCGGCCTTCTCAGAAGGCGGGAGGCTCCTTTGAAGCCAAGGGCCTTCTTGGAAAGGCCCTCCTCCTCCTCCTCCTCCTCCTCTTCCTCCTCCTCCTCCTCCTCCTCGTCCTCCTCCTCCGCTCCTCCTCCTCCTCCTCCTCCTCCTCCTCCTCTCCTCCTCCCTCGTCCTTCTTCTCCTCCTCCTCCTCCTCCTCCTCCTCCTCCTCCTCCTCCTCCTCCTCCTCCTTACTCCTCCCCCCACCTTCCGCCTCCTCCTCCTCCTCCTCCTCCTCCTCCTCCTCCTCCCCAGGGGCTTCCACGAAGGCTTCTTGGAAACCGGGAGCTTCTGAGAAGCCTCCCTGCCGCCGTGTGGCCCTGAGATCTCCCGAGATCCGGACGCCGCACTTCGCGCGCACCGGACTCTTCCGCCTGGATCGGGGCTCCTGGGCCCTCACACTGGGCAAGCCGGGTCGAGAAGCACCGCCTCAGAATAAGGTCTGGGGCTTCCCAACGGTGATTTTTTTCCGCAATGCTCCTCCTCCTCCTCCTCCTCCTCCTCCTCCTCCTCCTGCAACTGTTGCCAAAATGTGCGACGACCAGTTTTGTTTTTCAATGCGCGGTCCCCACCACGGGCGGCCGAGAGAGGGGCGTCAAAGAGGGGGGGGGCGCAAATCATGGCCAGCGGCATGTGCGCGGCCCAGGCTGGGGGCCAGGGACGTATTGAAATAAGCAGAGGCGCCATGAAATCTGGGGAGATATCATGGCCCACGCCATGGTATCCACCCCCCCCTCCAGTCATCCCCCCCTCGTTGCCGCCCCCGACCCCAGGATGTCTCGATCCATTCCCCGGGACCTGTTTCTCATCCCGAGCCGTGTTCTGACAGTCCTGGAGCCCAGCCAGGGCTCACAGACGCCGCAACGGCCAGAACCCGTCCGTCGTGCTTCTCTTCACGATGTGAGCATGTTTGGGTTCGCGGCGTCGCTTGCCGTCGCTCGGACGTCCATTTCTCGTGCGTTTTTCGGGCTCGCGCGTGTTTTTTTTTGCCCGATGGTCCAGGATGGTCCTCGATCGTTCTCGCCGAGAAAAAATGCACACGTGCGAGCGATGCCAAAAGGTCGGATCTGAGGGAAGCCCTCCACCCTCACAGAATTGAGCAGGGACCGACCGTCCCGGCATTCCTTTAGGCCTGCCACGACATTGAAGGGGCCCCAGGACACACACACACACACACATTAATACATACAGACAAAACGATTCCCCATATTTTCCCATATCTTCTGGGTTTTTGTCTTCCCCCCCACTTCCCATATTTTCGTATATTTTCTGGGGAATCGACGATTAATTGTGTCTGTGTGTTTTTGTCCCTCCTGAAGACATGCTGGTGGCACAACCGGCACGTTGGCACCACAGAGCTGAGCAGATCACCGACGTGTCCCAGCAGGACGGCCTCGGCCAGAAACTGCTCCGAGAGCAGCGCGGCGCAGACCGCAGCAGGCTCTATAGAACTTTCCTTGGTGGGCCAGTGGGCAGGCCGGGACGCCTCGCCACTGCTTGACCGACGGCCGCCCCCGCTCGGATACACGCAAGAGCGACCCTGGGTTTAAGTCGGGCGTGTCCCCCTGCAGGCGGGCTTTGGACGACAAATTCGTAAAAAGTCAAAAATATAGAAGAAACGCTCCAAAATGAAAGAAAAATCGTCCCCTGACTATTTTTTGACTTTCCCCCTGTAGAGGGACAGGCCCGACCTAAGGGTGGGGGTGACCCTTGGTGCGCGGCTTTCTGGGGACCGCGGGGGACCAATTACCGGCGCGCAAGACGCCACTGTCGCATCGCGCTCGGCGATCGGGGGACCCCAGTGGGCCCGCACCGAAGGGCCACTCCGGTGTAGGGCCACTCTCCAGAAGAAGAACAGAAGGCATGAACATACACTTGTGGCGCTCCGCGTGGACCTCTTGGATCTGCGCTGGACCCCCCTCCCCAGCGCGCGGAGCGCGCTGGGGTGGCGCTGGAGGCGCCGCCGGGGGGGCCCAGCGCGGATCCGAGAAAATCACGTACGTGGAGCGCCAACAAAAACATGTTAATGTAGTTGTTTCTTCTTGGACTCTTACGTGTAGTCGCCAGTCGGAAGGAGTGGGTAGAAACATGAAGTAGGAAGGGCAGATTGGGCTTCCGCCCGCACCCTGAAAGAGGAGGTACGAAGGAAGCCAGGCGATCCTTGAGGTAGGAAGGCGCAAAAGTAGACTGGGACCTGCGAGCCCAAAAACTCGAGGCCTCCTCGATGTGGTCCGAATAAATGGGGGCGAAGGATCTCGCCGCATCGCCGATACATCGGCGATGCATCGCCGATGTGTCGGCGATGCATCGGCCATGCACTGGCGATGTCGGCGATACATCGGCGACGTCGGCGCGGCGATGCGGCGCGATCCTCCGACCCCATCTACTCCGACCCCATCTAGAAGGCCTAGAAAAATACCCAGGCATGCGACGTCCTCAATTTTTCAACACTGGGTCCCTGGAAATCCCGACCCTTTCCCCGGGACGGGGCTTTCATCCTGAGTCTTTTTTGGACGGTCCCGAGGCCTGGCGAGGGTCCCCCGAGGCCGAAATTGGCCCAAAACCTCCCGCCCTGTTCTTTTTACGACGCGACCATGCCTATGGGTACTCTCAGCGACCGGCGTGCACGCGTCCCTGGAAGTCCCGACCCTTTCCCCGGGACCGGCTTTTCATTCTGTGACGGTCCCAAGGCCCGGTATTAGGGGAACAAAAATGACATAAACATGAAAACTCGGAGGTCCGCGCGGATTTCCGGGATCGGCGCTGGGGCCCCCCGGCGGCGCCTCTGGCGCCGCCCCTGACGCGCTCCGCGCGCCAGGGAGGGGGGTCCAGCGCCGATCCGAGAAATCCGTGCGGACCTCCGAGTTTTTATGCTTCTGACACTTTTTGTTCCCCTAGGATATGGCCCCCGGAGGCTGAAAATAGCGAAGAACGTGCCTGCTTCACAACGCGAAATCTACTTTCTGCGACCGGCGTGCAAGCGACCCGCGCGCCGCCCCCCGCGAGCCGCCGGCCTTCGCCGCCGCCGCCGCCGCCGCCGCCGCCGCCCCGCCGAGGGCCACCGGCCCCGGCGTGGCCGGGCGTGGCCCCGGCGTGGCAGAGCCGCCGACCACCTGGCGAGGGCCCAGCAGAGCGGGTGCCGGCGCACACGAGGGAGGAAGGGAGGGAAAGGAGGAGGAGGATGAGGATGAGGATGAGGATGAGGAGGAGGAGGAGGAGGAGGAGGAGGAGGAGGAGGAGGAGGAGGAGGAGGAGGAGAGGAGGAGGAGGAGGGGAGGAGGGAGCAGAAGGACGAGGGGAGGAGGAGCAGGAGGAGGAGGAGGAGGAGGAGCAGAGGAAGGAGGCAGCGTGCTTGCGCAGATCATGGGCGAAAAACATACCTGAATATTTTAACAATCGCCCCCCCCTTGGAATGCCGGGGGGGGGGGGTGGCCGTGGCTTGTCCGCGGGGGTGCGGGGGGGGCTCCCTTCTCCCTTTCTTTTTTCGCATTTTCACACCCACGCTTTTTTCACACCCACGCTCGGTGGCGCGGCGCACTCGTTCTCGTTCCGGTTCGGCTCACGGCGCCGCCGCCGCCGCCGCGCCGCGGCTGCTGCTTGGCGGTGCGGAGGCAGCCGTGGGCAGAATGGGGAAGAGAAGGAGTGCGCCATGACAGAACACAAATCACAAGACAGGAGCAGGAGGAAGGAGGAGGAGGAGGAGGAGGAGGAGGAGGAGGAGGAGGAGGAGGAGCAGGAGTCTTGAGGAAAGAATGGTGGACATCGGAAGGAAGAGACAGGGGGGGGGGAGAGGCGAGGGCGCGCGCGGGTGAGGGGGGGGGGGCCTGGAGTCAAACGCACCCAGGGTCGACGTGCAGGGGGGGAAGGCTTGGCTCCAGAACGTCCGCGCACGTGCGGAGGGGGGGGGGTCGGATTCGGGGGGCAGTGCCGGGGGGGGGGGGGTTGGCCGCGCCGCGTTTTCACGTCTATCACCCCCCCCTTGGACTCATAAGAATGAAGAGGCCCTGGGACACACAAACAAACAGGCACAAATAACAGGATTCCCCATATTTGTCCATATTCTCGGGGGGGGGGGGTGTCTTCCCCCCACTTCCCATACTTTCCCATATTTTCAGGGGAATCGACGATCAATTGTGTCTGTGTGTTTTTTCTCCCCTCCTGCAAGAAGCTTAGGCCTCGCGGGCCTGGCCCCTGGGGTCGCGACCCCGCGGATGCGGTGCGTGCTGTTCGCGGCTGCCCCGCGCGGAGCGCCTATCCGTGCGACCGCGCAGCAGCGGCACCGCGCCCTGGGGGCGCGGACTACGGACATGTTCGCCACTCGTGTGCCAGCGTGTGGTTGTCACCGAAGTGCTGCAGTTCGGCGCAGGCGCGCTGGCGCAAGCGTGTGGTCGTGCACCGAAGCGCCAGAGATACGGGAATCCTACAGTCAACCCGTATAGTGAGGATGCGCGATGAGGATGCAGGGGCCTTGGACGCGTCCACTTCGAAGCGTTTCGAGCGGGGCGCGACCAGCGGAAGCGGCGAAGGGTGGACCGAGGAGGCAGGGATGCCAGGGCATCCTTGGTGAGGTTGCCCATCCTTACTGTGCGGGTTGACTGTACAGTCGGGGCCTTGACCTAAGGAACCCAAAATAAGGAACGAGGCCCCTTTGTTCCATACGTTAAACTTCGATTTCCTATGGAAAACATAAGGAAAACCTGAGGCAAGCTGTGAAACACTTAAGGAACGCGGAGCCCCTCCCCAACCAAAAGGGTTCCTTCTTCAGGGCCCCGACTGTATGTTTTCATCCGGCGTTTTCTCCTGTCTTTCGGCTCCCAAAGGCCCGCTACAGTAGGGGCACGACCACAAGAAGCCTTCCACAAGAAACCCAACCCTGAGACCAGGACGTGACTTGATTTTTGGTGACGCCGACACACACGCATACAGACACACACACACCAGCACACACACACACACTCAAATGTACACACACACACACACTCAAATGCACACACATACACCGACACACACACACATGCACATGCAGACATTCACACACATACGCATACGCACATGCACATACACCGACACCGACACGCACAAAGACAGCACACTCCCACACACAAGTGCACGCGCACACACACAGCACAAGCACACACGCACACACGCACGTGCACACACACATACACACACAAGCACACGCACACGCACACACAAGCACACGCACACGCACACGCACGCACACGCAGAAGCACACACGCAGAAGCACAACGAGCTATCACACGCCGTGAGAATCATCGACGCCTCTCCGCCTCGAGCACCGCCGGCAGCCCCGTCTGGGGCCCAGACCTCTGGAGGCTCGAGCAGCTCTGAGTGCTGTGCTGCACCTGCGACCTCCCCGGGCCGTAATTGTCAAGGGGCCCAAGGACACACAAATAAATACACACAAATAACCAGATTCCCTATATTGTTCTATATTTTCTGTGTTTTTGTCTTGCCCCCTACTTCCCGTATTTCCCATATTTTCCTGGGAATCGACGATTATTTGTGTCTGTGTTTTTTTCCCCTCCTGATTTTGGCCACGGGGCTTTCCAGAAACGACTGGGGGCGAAAAGCTGGCCTCGTCACTGCACCGACCTTAAGCAGACGTGCTGCAGCGGATTTCTGAGTGGATTTCTGTCAGTACACAGCCCCGACTCGGCGAGTGAAAAACGAAGTGAATTTCGCGTGGATTGTTTGAATCTTCATTCCTGGCCAAACAAGTCCGAACGAAATTCACGTCGAAATCCGCGTCGAACTTCTCCAGGACTCCCCGGGCCCATGCTGTTGAGATCCGAACGACATTCGCTCTGCGATGTTGGCGCCATGAGTCTTGGGGAGAAGGCCGCGAGCAAGGCTCGAGCCAAAGCGTGGCTTTCGTGCTCGTGTTGTGTGCTCGTTCTCCCTCGTTCTGTCCCCGTTGCGCCAGCACCAGCTGCAACACCCGGCCCGAAGGCAGACGCTCCACGAGATCGACCGAGCACCGCCTAGTTCAGCTCGAGCCCTGGTCGAGAGCCGACGAGGTCCAGGGCAGGCGCTGGGGTGCCCACGCTGCTGCACCGGTCCGGGCTCCAGGAGGGGCCTGAGCAGGGCGGGCGGCAACGTCATTTAAAGGGGCCCAGGGACGCACGGAGAAATAGATGCAAATCCCAAGGCTCCCGGTATTTTTGGATGCTTTCTTGGTTTTCGTCGTCCCCCCA